TATTTAATTATTTAATTTAAATTATTGATTAATCAAGTAGAAACTGTGACGAGCAATGCTGAATTAGTTTTCAGAATTTTTGAAAGATTAAAATAAAATTTCTTCGAAAAGTTGGAAGCCACGATTTTTAATATCAGAACAATCGATTCCTCGTCTTTCGATAGAGAAGATCGCATGTTTCGGTCTTGTTCCTCTATTTCCTTGAAACACGGAGATCTTGCATTGTATACAAATAGCTGTTTCCCTCGCGTGACTTCTCGTAATCGCTACAGCTTACACGATCGTACAGTTTTCCAAATGACCCGTGCATTGCACTCGGTCTCGACGATCTGAATGCATGTCGTAATTGGAAATTAGAAATCATGACGCTGAATGTCAAGCGGACACGATGGATCTTCTCGACTCGAGGACGCTTTGCATATCTGGTGAACGAGAATTTGTTGATAATTAGATTAGTAGCGACTAATTGACGGATAATTTTTTTATATTTAAAAACGAAATATTCGAGGAATAATTTGAGCAAAAGAGAACGAAAGATTTTCCACATTTGATTTAATCTATTTATAAAATTTTATTTTATTTGTGAATAAAGAAATAAACGAAATTCCCCTTTTTTTTCTTTGACAGTTTATTTATTATATACGTCTTTCCATGATCGAAGAAGAATAAAATAAATCATATCATTTGTTAATTTCAATTTAATAATACACGTGATACATAATATTATTGACATAATATTATTGAAAAAGGAACAAAACAATTTTCAAATTTTCGTCTTAGATCGTAGAATGGCTTTCTACTCCGGGATATTAATGAAATTACACACGTAAATTAAAATTTCCATGTATAATAAGCAGTTGTATCCCAAACGAATACAATCGAAGTTCTTCGATATCTCGCACGTTCAGCGTTTCTAGACGATTATTAAAGTTCTTCGATTACACGTTGGGAACACATTTTAGCCCATACAACAGCTTAACGGTCGGAAGCAACGTTCATTTATGCGAACGAAACGTGTGTTCGGTGTCACGAATGAATTAAGACGTTCGAACAGCTGCTAATCAACGACGTGCAGGAAACAGCGGCTGGTATCGCGTTCACGTTGGTTCGATCATCGAAATCGCGTGCGCCTCGTTTTCTCCCCCTTTCTCTTTACCCCGGCTTGTTTTCTATTTCACTTTCATCCTCGATCGTCTTGCCAGCATGCCCATTTTTCCCTTGATCGTTTCGCGACTTTCAGTTTTACGATCCCGATCGTCTTACGATGCTTCTCTAAGCGAAAGGCTACAGCTACGCGTTTTTATTGTATTGGAACGAGATTCAGAGTTCCATAAATTATGATAATTCCAATTATCAAATTCAGTATATGGAAATATTACAAAATTATACCGATATATTTTTATCTTTGTATACTTTCTCTGTTTCTTCTCTCGCCATCGTGTATATATATATATATATGTACGATTACTATCATCTTCAAAATTTTTCTTTTTGAATTTTTATCTTGTCTCCCTTTCATAACCATACTTTCCCTTCTAGCTTAATCTTATAATTTTATACTATCTTCCTTCCATCTTTCTTCGATCCACTCTCTAAATCTTATCTTATAAAATTTTTTCAAATTCAATCACCTTTTTTGTTACATTAAAAAATTAAAATCTAATTTTGATTCATTTTATATTTTGCATATACCATCGCATATTATTTTCTAATTTTTTCTTTTCAATTTTACTTCTATATTTTATAATATATATCTCGCGTTTTCGTTCGAAATTTAAAAAATTTTTTTTGGAAATTTATTATATTATAAAAAGCTATATTATAATTAATTAATTCTTATCTATTTTCTCTGTTTTTCGTCTACCAATCTATCTTCAAATATTTTCAATTTTTATCTTATAACCCTTTCATATTATTCATTCATTTCCTTTGCCTTCAGTTTCCTTCCCCATTCATCAATCCCCTCTCCAAGTCTCTTATTTTTATCAAATACTTCTAGAATGAAGGGTAGATAAACGATGAAAAAAAAAAAAAAAAAAAAGATGAAAATTTCACGAGGGAATTAGCAGCAACGATTCGACGAGTTCCACGAAAACGATAAATCAGTGATAAACTATGCAATTTCTTCACCCCTTATCTTAGCCCTCTTTGTGATTCCCTCCCGTAACGGTGATGCAGTGGCCCCATTGTCTTGCGAAACTGTACAACAGTCTTGTTATCGCGCAATTAACGCCTCCGCGTAACGAGTTTGACCGTTGAAATTTGCGTGGTCGTTTCGCGATCGTGCCCAGTGTTTAGATTAAGAGAACTTACGGGAAGTGACGAAGAGTGGTCGAAATAGAAATCGTTTCTACCTTGATTGGAATATTATCATTTTTACTTTTTACGTTGGTATGAAGATAAGTATGGGAATTATTCTTGAAAGTTGTTACGAAAGTTGTTATTAAATATTATTTCTTTTCTAAATGAACTTCTTTGAGTTTTAAAATTAATAATTAAATGAGAAAAGTTCATTAACCCATTGACGATAATAAGCGTGTAATGAAAAGTCAACAAAGTAAATTAAAAGTAATGTTTTAAATTAATATTTATGAATGTGTAATAATGTTTTAAATTTGTTTATGTGCAATTGTGTTTTAATTAACATTATTGAATTAACATTAAATTAATGTATATTTCAGATGTAATAAAATTTATTGTTAAAATTTATTATATATTAAAAATTTTATTTATCAATTTTTTAGAATATGACTTTTATATATATAAATATTTCCTCATAATTCTATTTTTTAATTTTTTTTCTTTCAATTTTTTAACGCATACAGTCTTTTATAATCAAATACTATTGTACTACGTGCACACAATATTTCTAAATCTATAACTATTTATGTAGAAATTAACGAAAAATTAAAAAGATTTTCCCTGTATGTATGTATTTTTATATCAAAAATTTTATTAAATTCTTCAGTTGATAAATACGCGATTTATTTCGTCATAAGAACATTAAAACCAAATGTGTAACCGCATAAATACCTAATAATATCCGGAAACGTGCGAAAACGGCGGAAATTACACGCGGATACGAGCTCAAAGAGTTAAAAAAACCAGCACTTAATTTACTCCACAATTTCTCCTCGACCCAACATCCTAAAAATCCTCGAATCGAATATACCCGCCGGATAAACGAAAGATCAAAGAACACTTCCCCTCCCAAAAACAATTTATCGGCTGCACGATCACGAAGTCACAATAAAATACCAGGATCGAAATTCAATAGCAATTCGCCGGTCCATAAACAATTCCAACATCCTTAAATCACGTGCATGATGTTCGTTTCGTTCGGCGCGTGTTCCTATTCCGCGATTCGAATCTCGCCGCGCGGCTGCGCCGTGTAGCGGTACTTTCCTAGGGAATTTTTCCGCCTCGGTGTTTAGCCGTGAAACCAGCCACAATAAACCATAAACCGTGGCCGCGCCACGGCCGTCTTAATTGCGTACAATTAATTTGTCCACGTCGCGTGTATAGAAAATGCATCTCGATGGAATGATCTGTGTATCTTGCGAAAAGTTGCGTGCATCACGACGTTCACCTTCGATCGTTTGGATTCTTTGGTCGTTTCGATTGCTCGACGAAAAGACATCTAGAGTTGAGAGGTGAGGTTAGAATGAACTATAAATCAAATTATAGTCGAGTTTGTGGTGCAACAGGCTTGAATGTTATTAAAATTATAATGACGTTTGAAAAATAATCGTTAAAATAATATATTGTTTTATTTGGGTAAGTGTTATTTGAAATAATTATGCGTTTGTTTATTTGAAAGGATAAGTGACTTTTTCTTTAGATCAATTCTATAGATTATTTGAAATGAAATAATTTCTTGAACATTCTAATTGAGAATCTGTTGAGATTGTTTTCGTTTGTTATAATAATAGATTTATTACAATATTTTTCTTGAATTTTTGAAGCAAAGATAACTTTAAGAGTAAAAATTCCATCAAATAAAATAGACGATAAACGTGATTTCCTTAGAAGAAAATGAATTCGTCGGTATATTTGATTTCTGTTTGCCAAGATTCGTTGTGGGAATGAAGAAATTTATAATAGGGTGAGTTTAAGAAAGTTTAATTGAGTCTGAAAAAATTATTATAAATTTAAGTTACTTTTTTAAGTTAAGTAAGGTAACTTGGTTGTAAATTTAATAGAAAAATTTAACTGAAGAAAGAAATTTAATAATTCCTATAATAATTATAACAATATATATATATAATTTATACAATATAAAATACGATAAATTTACAGGAATTGTATGAAAAAAGATCGCAATTCACACTTCACATATCCAAAATCTTCAAGGACAAAATTTAAATGATTCAATAATAAAAAAAGAAATTGAACTAAAAAATATCATGTAAAAAAGATTTTAATAGAATAAAGTAAATGATACGTATTACTACATAACATTATTCAAAAAGTGCTTTAATTGAAAAAAAGTACTTTAAATAAATTAAATTAAATAAATATTAAAATGTAGAATAAGAATAATTAACTTAATCTCTTGAGAAAAATTAAAATGGATAATTTGTTAATAATAAATCAGAAAGATTTAGAATTTCATTTCCTTCCACGAATTACATTTTCACCAACAGAGAGCACAATATGCATATATATGAAGCCAATCAATCGAGTTCGAATACACGAGTTTTGCGATAGGTCAGTTGGCATTGGGAGCAGCGGTATGAGTGAAACACTTCCTTCGATTTTTGAAACGGGGTTGGGAAAGTTATCCGATATCCTTTCACGGGTGGATCGCGGTCATATTTGTGCAACTGTCACGAAGGGACACTTTACGCAAACCCTCTTGTGTACTGGCATTATATCAGATTACCGAAATCTGCTGGTATACGATTCCGTTCGTCGATTGAGATACAAACGCGAGGCTCGTGAGATCGGATTCGTAAAGGATGCGGGAGTAACGAGATCCCTGTTGTCTCCTGTTTCAGGAACGAAAAAGAGAGTGGACGATGTGGTAGCGCCCAGGACCATTCACGACATACCGGAACACGTTCTCACGTGTGGCCTCACGCTTCCTGGTAAGTCTGACAAATTTTTCATTTTTATTTCGATGTATTCGTTAAAACTTTTTAATGTCTAATTTCTTTTTTTTTTTTTTTTTTTTTTTAAATTCTGTTTTCTACGTTTCTTCGTATTAGTAAACGAGCAAAACATTTTAAACATAATAATTGATAAAAATTATTTAATATCGTTTAGATATTTTAATAAAAACATTATAAATATTGAAAATTGCGAATCGTAATTTTTGAACAGCAGAAATTGTACAATCTAATAACTAAATCATTCAAATCTTTATTTATAAACATTGCCAAACTCTATTCTATCAATATTCGTCAACCAAATTCCTATCATTCTCCTAATTCAATACAATCTAAACTTCGATTCCTTCACAAGTGGGTCATTAAAATTTTCATTAAACAGACACCCTGATACGCTATCTTCGAACATAACACACAGGATAAACAGAGGAGTAGAATTGTGATTATTAATACTTCATTGATAATAATATTTTCGATGATATCGTTAAGATATCTTCAATGGATGAAAGAAGAGTGGAGTTTCTATTTTTTTTTTTATTTAAAGTTATTATTAAAGCACGTACAAATATTATTTGTAACAATATTTACTTAAACTGTTTCTGTTCGCGTTTATTTATAGATTAACAATATCTTCAACAAGAAAGGAAAAATAGAAACTCTAGTTACTTTTATCAGTTATCTTAAAGATATTATCGAATGATATCGGTAACACACCGATACTATCATTACTTATCGATAACAATATCGACAGTCACAATATCGATCGTCTTATCTCACAGAGGAATATACACAGAAGCCAGGACACACCCATTGCCTCCTAAAGCCCAATTCACACGCCTCTACATCCTTGCGTCTATTTACGTGGTTTAAAATGCTTCTCTTTATCGTGCTATCTTTATACGTTCCTTCCTCTACATCCTGTTTGTCCTTTTCTCGAGGCTCTCACGGATGTTTAACTGTATTCTCGCGTTGGTACTTAGTTAACGATTAACTTAGCATAAAATCGGTGCAAGGGTTTTTTTTTTTTCGAGAAAAAGAATTACGAGGAGGATGAGATATGTTGAGGTTGAGGCTTTGAGAGAGAGGAAGTTGATGTACGCTTAGGATGGGATCTTGGGTTGTTCGCACGAGGAAAAGATGATCTTTTCGAGATGAAGGGTTTTTAAAAGGGTGAAGGATGGAAGGGTGTGTTGAGTGTTTTATTCTTTCTGAGAGATTCTTGTTGAAAGGGTTTTAATTTATGATGGTAATTTGATTGGTGGGGGAGAAAGGATATGTTTGAAGATGGAATTTTCATTTTCATTCTGTATAATTTATGAATTGTTATATAATTAGCAACTGTTATATAGATGGAAAAAATGAATCAAAAATAGTTTTGAAAGTTGAAGAAGGCTTTTCTCAAAACTTTTACAAATTTGATTTTGTAACCAATTTATATAATTTATTATGTAATTTTGTATCTGAAAGTCAGAGTTATCCCAGTTATTCGTTAATAGAAAAACTGTTGTAATCATAAATTTGTAACATTGTATTTTTAAATTATCAATTCATCTTTGTTATTTAACAATTATTATATAATGTGAATGTAATATCTCCAGTTATATTGATAAAACAAAAAAAAAAAATGGTAGCTATATAAATGAATTATTTTATTTTTTGTCAACTAATAATAATTTTAAAAAATATATTGAATAAATGGTAAGGTATGGTAAGTTATGGTAAGATAAAATACAGTTTTTAATTTTTGAAATAGAAGCTGTGAAATAATGTCGAAAAATAATTTATTCCCCTTCCATTTACGTGTAAAAATTATTTCTCGACTAGTTTCTGTCTGATGTCGATTTCGTTATCCGTAGCTTTCCATTCGTGCAACAATTTCCAACCAATGTTTCACATGTGCGCATCCATTACCTTCCCCTTTTGGAACGTATAATTTTCTCGCATTCCACCGTCTCCACTCTCCACCATCCTCCTCGTGGAACGTTTCTAAAGAGGAGGAATCACAGGAATTGAACCACTAATGCGACTAATTCGAAAAGAAAACATCCTAACCGTACTTTCTCGTGATCTTTATTAAAACTCTGCCGAGGATCGAATCTCTCCACACTCGTTGTTCCATCGTTCCTTGTTGAAAATCTTTGGATCGCTGCATAAATTACGTTTATCGCCACGCCTCGTTCGTGTAAACAGATTCTCTTCGTGTTATTTCTTCTCTGTTTACAACGTATTTATAACGTAAACAATAATATTATGAATTATTTAATAATACAATCATTATATTTGTATTGGTAATAAGTAAGAAAGGGTGAAGTGAGAATTATCGAAAGATCATTTTTCATAAATTTAAACAGTGTTACATATCTCTAATAATAATAAATAAATCGTTTTTTATTTATTAGCTATTAGTTTTTCAACTCTAATATTCAAAAGCTTTTGGAAGCAGTAAAAAAATTTCAAATAAAACCAATTTATAACCAATGTTTAGTGAATAATAAAAAAAAAATTTTTTTTGATTCTTCCAAATAATCAATTTTTTTTATTTCTATTTATTAATTTTCTTTTCTTCTAAAGTGATTGCCAATATGAATTTTAATTTTTTAATTATTTAGTGGAAAAATATGTTTCCAAACTTTTCAACGATAGTGTATATTAATACATGCGGTTCATTAAATTGCAGAAAAACTAATATATCGATAAATTTATTGAAAATTGAAAAAAATATATTTATTCTTTTTCAAAATCATTGCAATAACATTTTGAAAATTTGAAAATACAAACGCGAAAATTTTCTATATACATTTTTTTGAATTGAAAGAGTTAATAAATAAATCCAAAAATTTTTATAAAAGAAGTATAATCCCATACATCATAAATAATAATAAAGATTATTAATTGATTAACAAATTTACATAACTATATTCTAGAAGCATGTCTATCTCTTATTTCTAAACAAACTTAAATAAACTATATATGAATAATCCTCATTAATTTTTCTCGTTCAAATCAGAGAAAAAGAAAAAAAAAAAAAAAAAAAAATATTAGCTTCGAACGAATTCGTGGAAAAAAAACAAACTATCGCAGCAAAAAAACTTACGCCGGCTATTTAATATCAACGCTACAACGCTCCCTTCTTTTTCCTCTTTCTCCTTCTCTTTCCACTTGAGCATCCGCTTTCTCTTTGTAAATATTTTCTCCGCTATTTTTCTTTCTTCCCCTTCTCTGCCCCTCTCCCTCCCTTCCCCCCCCCTCCCATTTTCTCTATTTACAAGCACTTCCTGTTTCTCGTTCGCGAAACTCATAGCTGATCGTGTCCCCTCGTTTCCTCCTATGGTTGTCCCATCGTCGACGCGCACGTTAAACAGCAAACAAAATGAAAACGGGACATTCTCGTCGTCTCGAGAGAAGAGCAAGGACAAAGAGGTGCTCGCCCGGAATTCAATTTTAAACGAAAACGCTGGTGAAACGATTTCTGTGTCGCCTTTGAAGATGAGTCGCGTGCTCCTTCGTGCTTGTTCAGGGGGCGAAAAAAAAAAAAAAAAAAAAAAAAAAAAAAAANNNAAAAAAAAAAAAAAAAAAAAAAAAAAAAAAAAGAAAAAAACTCGCTCGAAGGCCCGTCCGTTTGCAAAAGAATTTTTCATTATTTAACGGTGTTACACGTGTTTTATGCGCGCTGGAAGACGCGAAGCGAGTTTTTCTTCGAAGGTTTTGTTACAGGTTTGTTTTCTGATAGTCTTAGACCTGTAATCTTTCACCGTTCGTACCGTCTTTTTACAGTGTTATTAATCGGCAAGAACGGTAAAAACGGAGTTATGCCGTTCCCGTAACCGCTTGGTAAAATTTTTGAAAACAGGAGGAACAATTACATTGTCGCCGTCAGCGTGGAAAGTGAAGGATAACGCGACCCTAAAATCCGCGGATGGGTGAAAGGAAAAGGAGTATTATGCGTTTTATATCTAATTGGATATTCTTTACGCACGTTTCGTATTTTCTGTTTCAAGAATTTGCATCTGGATTGTCGTGAATCGATTCGGTAAGGTAATTCTCTCCCGATTTTTAAGAGTTGATAACGAAAGTGGCTTGAAATCCGAACTAGATGAACGTTAAATGCGGGGGTTATGTAACAATAATTGTTTTTAGAATAGCAGTATTTTTGAAAAAATTATTAATTATGAATTTTTGAATATGATATTTCGAATTTGAATTTATAGACTTGGATCCTTGAATTTGGAGATTCATTTGTAATCTTAATAATTCAAAAATAATTAATAATAATAATAATAATTAATAATAATATTATATAATAATATTAAATAATAATACTTAATATTTCAAAAAGTTATAAATTCTTAAATTTTTAATCCAAGAATTGAAAATCGATGGATCCATGTTTCTTGTATTCTTTTTGGACACTAATATTTCTCTTATCGTGAACTTTGAATTTAAATCTATGGATTTGAATCTATCTATGTGTTTTAAAATCATAAAGCTTAAACTCATGAATTTAGAAATCAAAAATTGGAAATGGAATGGATTCTAAATTTTAAATTTCTGATCTCTTTAAATGAATTTTGGATCCCAAATCCAAGTTTCTTGATTTGAATATAAGTTTTTGAATTGAAATATTCAATTATTTTTAAATTATTCACCTGTACTGCATGAATTCTAAAAAAATTACTCATATTATTTTTTTAAAATTCATTACAACTTACTCATTACAATATTTTAAAACACTTGTCAGTACAGTAAATTGCATATTATCTATTTTTAAACATCTCTGTGAATATACTCTTTTATTTCTTATTACTACATAATGGTATAATTTAACAAGTTTGTATTGTATTGGATGCTTGCAAGTAAATATCTTAATTGCCATTTCTATGCATTCTTCCGGCAGTCTTCTTTATAATTAAATGCAAGCATTTCCTCCATGTAAAGATTTCGCACGACTTATTTGTCATTCTATAGGATAGGATTCGCGC